TGTGACGCAAAGAGCTGCCCGCCTGAGGCCATAATTAAATGGAGTGTTCCACATTTGCATGGGGTTTGAACTGAAGTGACCATACTTGAGATCATTCGGTGGGGTTCACAGCCCTGTCCTTCTTAAGACCTAAACCCCTCTAGCTTCTCAGCTACACGCCTGCTCAGACGTACAGACTATTTTTGGGGACTATGACAAGGTCACCCATGTATCCAGGGTGCCATCATAGCGCTCAGTGTATGCGCTCCTGTTAATAAAGTTCGGTCAAACCCTGGCAGGTCATTGGCCATGCAGCGACCAAGGCAAGAAAAATATAGCTGGCGAGTCGTTCATATCTGGCGCTCGTGAGCACGATTTCCAGATTTAATGGCCGTCAATTGGCTCTCAAATAATGTTTTGCAAACCACGATGCGCATTAAACAATAACGTTTTGAGGACCCGATTAACTAAACAGAGAAATCGTGTTGCCAAGAGTACTATTAACACTTGAAAGTGCACGCATAATTAAAGCCGGGCCTATTTCATCATATCTGAAGCTTGCCCAATATCTTCAAATGTGGAGCGTTCCATTTAATAGGAGCCCACAGTTTCAGAGTTCGCTACATCCGTTTACGAGACGCCAGCGGGCGGAGTCCTAATAAAATACCCTCTTTTATTTAGTTTGGCAGTGACCGAAGCCAAAACCGTCGCTGCCCACGCCGATCTAGGTCGCCTCCACACGTCGCATCGACAGATCGCTGTCGCCATAGCCCCCGAGAGGAGGCTGGACTGGCAGCGGATTTGTATTCCATACGGCTGTACGGCCCGAACTCGGGAGGCGTCGGGTGCACCGGGGTTACAGCGTCCGCGGCGACCCGAGACCGGTGTTCAGCAGCTGGTGTCGCTGCACGCCCCCCCCCCCCCCATACCCCTCCATCGCGTACGCGGCCTCTGGATGCACTGTCTGAGCTCGGGGCGCGAGCAAGGACTTCCGATCCGCCATCGGCAGCCGCTCGGCCGTCGCGATATAGACGGGCCGTCGCGTCGAGCGGCTGTGGTGACCGCCGTGACGTCGCCCGGCCGCTCGATCTAGACGCTGGTGACGTCGCTTGCGACGGACAAGGCGCACGGGCCGGTCTCAATATAGACATTTCCGCGGAGTCACCATTTGGAGTGAGACTTGGTTGTGTTGTGTGCGTGGCCTTTATTAAATCATAGATCTACGAGGCCTCTGGAATGCCACGATAGATCTAGTACACACGGTCAGCAGCGATGATCCCGCCAGGAAGCCCGGCCATGGCCATTAACGCCATCTAATGATCGAGCGGATGCCACGGTTAGTGGCATCGGTTAGTAAGCGGTTGGTGGGAGATGCTACGGCTAGTTAGCGGTTAGCCGGAGATCGGATATGGTCGAGAGCTATTATGCTGAACGAAGGCCCTGCCAAGCGTGAAAGGAGGCCTCAACGATGTGAAGATCTGGAGCGATTGAGAGTCAGGTACGCCAGGAGGGTCACGTCGTGAGCGAGAGGAGGCCCTAGGTGAGGTGAGGTGGAGGTGAGGACCAGTGACCTTGCGCTGGCCGAGAGACAACAGCTGGTCCACAACAGCTGGCGTGAGGACTTCCAGTTTCCTCGTTCAAAGTGACTTCGTAATGGACGTGTGCCGCGGCGCGTGCATTGCGGACGTGAACGTCACGCGCCTCGAGTTCGCACGCGGGCAGGTATCAGCGGTGCAGGTGAAGTCGCCGGTGGGTGTCGCCGTGTGAAGTATGATTCGTCATCTGTAATCTAACCACGTCCTTGCCCTATCCGCTGCGCATTGGCCTCCGGGGCAGGCTGCAAAGCCCGGCTTTCTGACGGCTTGGCTGACTTCGTTGTGATCTGAGGAGAATCCTTTCCGATGTTTCATACAGTTAACCTGGGCACCCAGACACTCCTAAAGTACAGAGGAATGAAAGCTAGCGACTATTTTCTATTCTATTTCTATTATAGGACTATTTTCGGCGTAGTTTGCGACAATGTTGCGAACCACTTGTGCGTTCCGACACACCATTCTTCTGACAAAATAACACTAGAAGCGCGATGTTCACAAAACTTCTTGGGAGCGAATGCCATCTTACACTTGACAAAAATAATGACAATGCTATAAGGGTTATATTTTTATCAAAACCCAAACCTGGGTGAAAACGTAGTACTCGCTCATCAGAGAGATGCGAGTGGGGGGCAGATTATATTTACAATGGCATCAGATGGAGGCATGGTTCAATGGTCTATAGACTATTGGCATCTGGTGGATATGCCGATGGCTACAACAGTAAAGTCACCAATAAACTAAACCACCTGATCGGATTTGGTAAATGCAGAACGAAGTCGCGTGGATACCACTTTGGACGACACACATTATGTGCCAACTACGAGTGCTTATTATTGCGGCAGTGGCCGCACACAAGATGGACTGCTGCTTCTTACCTACCCATAACAGCCATTGGTTGATAGCACGAACGTAAATATTCTGCATCATGCATCACTGTGAAAGGAAGTGCCATACGATTTTAGCAATGATAACATCGCACTGACAGCACCCTCTCCAGACTAAACAGTGCGCATTGCGGCATTCCGCCTCGACATGCAGCCACTGCCGTTGGGGCTTCGTAAGTGAGCGGGGCAGTGATGAATGCAGTTGACGTTGCTGGTGACCCTGCAACTGGGACGGAAGTTTGTCACCCGAGCCGGGTCCGTCAGATCCTCAGTCTTGACACTTGTGTATGCTAGATGTCGTCACGGGGCCGTCCAAGTGCTCCGCCAGGGCCACGTGGGTTGTGCCGATTTCCTGGCGCCGAATACGTGCTGAGGATGCGTCACGGGCGTTTCCGAGACGCGTTACGTGAGGTGACCGTCACGCTCGAGAAGACTGGTCGCCACGATCGAAAAGTCACGCGATCCGATGTGGACCATCGATGTGAACCAAAGATGCAGAACAGCACGGATGTGATCCGTTCGGTTGTCTCGATCCGATGCGGATCATCGATGTGAACCAAAAATGCAGAACAGCACGGATGTGATCCGCTCAGTGTCTCGATCCGATGCGAATCATCGATGTGAGCCAAAGATGCAGAACAGCACGGATGCGATCCGTTCGGTTGTTTCGATCCGATGTGGATCATCGATGTGAACCAAAGACGCAGAACAGCACGGATGCGATCCGTTCGGTTGTCTCGATCCGATGCGGATCATCGGTGTGGACCAAAGACGCAGAACAGCACGGATGAGATCCGTTCAGTGTCCCGATCCCGCAGGATCCTCCCGGCATGCGTGTCCCGATCCCACGGGATCCTCCCGGCATGCGTGTCCCGATCCCGCGGGATCCTCCCGGCATGCGTGTCCCGATCCCGCGGGATCCTCCCGGCATGCGTGTCCTGATCCCGCGGGATCCTCCCGGCATGCGTGTCCCGATCCCGCGGGATCCTCCCGGCATGCTTAAGCTCGTCGACGTCTCACTGGGAGCATCCTCAGAAGGAGCCTGAGCCTCAAGAGCAGACCCCACCGGAGGAATCTCAGAACATCCTCCAGGACGGGCCTGGCGGCGCAACTGGAGCTGAGCCGGCGCCGGTGGCGGCAAACCCCGGCTATAGCGCCTCATGGCACGCGAGTAGTCCGTGTGGAACTACCAGCGTGTAACTTGATTATAGATGCTGGTTCGTCTTGCGCTGGTATCGAGCTTCGCTGACGTGGTCCTGTGCGTGTAACCTCACTTTTGTGCCGTGCCGTGCCGTGCCGCCATAAGTTGTGGAAGCCCATCTTCTGTCCGATCAAACGACCACGTGTTTCAGTCACTGCACATTGCGTTGTAACGGCGCCACACTGTAACTCGACTCATCCCTGTGCTTTCCTGAACATTTTCGAAATATGCACCGGGGACGGCGACATTGGCGGAAATCCCGCTGGACAATGCAACAATTGCGTGATGCAACATTGGGCATATGGGAGACAGTCGACATTTCCCACCGTACAGAGCCTAATGACATCCCTGCGCAGTGCCTCAGGGTACCCTCCCGTCTGCTGTTCACACCACCGAGGTGAGTTCAAACAATGTGAGCTTTTTGAAAGGATTCTGCCTCCCGATTGATAGGATTGATTGATAAAACTGATTGTTACAACTGATTGATGGATGCCTCCCAAAACGATCCCCGACCGTGTCCTGGTCTAAAACGACATGGTGTCTGCGACAGTGCTGGCCAACTTTCGTAAGTTCAAGAGCGCCGCAACTCCCCAGTCCCCGCCGCCGGCTTTAAGCGCCTCCCGTACCTGCCCCCGCCGCACCCCTTCACGCGCCTTCCCGTACCTGCCCCCGCCGCACCCCTTCACGCGCCTTCCGTACCTGCCCCCGCCGCACCCCTTCACGCGCCTCCCGTACCTGCCCCCGCCGCACCCCTTCACGCGCCTCCGTACCTGCCCCCGCCGCACCCCTTCACGCGCCTTCCGTACCTGCCCCCCGCCGCACCCCTTCACGCGCCTTCCGTACCTGCCCCCGCCGCACCCCTTCACGCGCCTCCCGTACCTGCCCCCGCCGCAGCCCCTCACGCGCCTCCCGTACCTGCCCCCGCCGCAGCCCTGAGCGTGCCCCACACCGGCGGCCGGGCAGCCTCCTCTAATTCACGGCCGGAGCGGTCGATGGCTGGCGCCGTGCCCGCAGACGGCGCCAGCCGCCCCGCCCTCTCCCCCGGCCCCACCCGACGGTCGATGGACACTGGCGGTGGCCCGCCCCCGCCCCCACCCCCCTGACCGGCGGTCGCACACAGTCGTGGCGTCGCAGGGGCCGACGCGCCCCGCCAACCACGTGATCCGGGGGAGCCCAACAGCGGCTGGAGGTCACGGGGCGGCGCCGGTACAGGCTGGCGATTGGGGCTCTCAGGAAGTGACGGTCGTGCTGCCGACTTGAGGCGCAGGCTCCGTGTGCCGGCGTTGGGCGAAGCCAGGCGGAAGTGACAGTCACTCGCTGGCAGCGATGAGAAGCCACATGCTTCATCCTTCATTTATTATGGCCTCGGATCGGTCACACATTAGAATCTCGTAACGGTGATAAACACGGGCCTTATCAATATAGCAAGCTTTGGTCAAAGTGAAAACAAACAACACATCCACCACGCCCGTTCGACCAGCGCCAACTACAGCCCCGCGCAACAAACAAGCGCCGAGCGGCGCTCGTCGCACCCTAGTCTAAAACAACGCAGCACCCGCTACGGCTCACCGTCCTCCTCCGCGCGAGGGGCCACTCTCGGGTGTTCCGCCACCGAGCGCATTCACAGCCGTCTAGTATCAACAGAACCCGCGCCTGGCAAGCGGCCCGCCCTCCGGCGGCCGCCCGCGCAACCATCGACCGCGCGCAGACACGCCCGGCTAGTTCAATATCACCTGCGACAGGTCGGGAGCGCACTCGTCACCCGGCGAGACCTCGGGGCTGCTCGCCACTGGCGAGTCTTGGGCGCTGCTCGTCGCGGGCGATTCGCCGCCTCGCCGCCGCGCTGCGCGGGTGGCCGGCGCCGCCGGGTGCCCGCGCCTCGCCGACATCAGGGCTCGACTCGGCGCCGGCCGCGGTATGTCAGGCCTTCCGCGAGCCGTCCTTGTCCGTCAGGTGGAGCGCGCGCATCATCTTGTCCACCACTTTCGTGTGGAAGCCGGAGAAGGAGCTGGCACCGCCGGGCGCCGGGCTGCGCGCCTTGGGCGGTGAGGGCTGGCTACGCGGCGCGAACGACACGCTGCGCGCCGGCGGCGAGCCCGCCGTCTGCGAGAGGTTGGAGGCGCGTGACGAGGAGCGGCTCTGGCGGCACGAGCCGGCGGCACGCATCGGCCAGCCTTCGCCGGCTGGCGACGATGACAGCGAGCCGGCCGGCCGGCTGCTGAACGACGGGCCGCGGCTGAAGCCCTGGCTCGTCTCCGACGTGGTGCGGCTGCGGTTGGCGCGCTGCTGCTGCTCCCGCCGGCTCTTGGCGCTGCTGCCGTAGATGTCCCACTCCTTCTTCACCACGGGCACCATGAACGCCATGGCGTCGTCAGACTGGGTGCGGTTGGGCTGACGGTGGGGTGACACACGTGGATCACTCGCAGCGCACGGGTGTGGGTTCCTTGAGTTCTCCCTGGGCTGAACACCCCAACTACCGTCGATGCTCTGGCCTCCGGCGCAGCCGCATCGACTAAAAATCGATTCCGTCTTGGCCGCCTGCCAGCGGCACGCGGCAGCGTCCTGATTGGCTGACGTTGGAGGAGCTGGCTGGCGCCGACCAATCAGCAGACGGGGCGTTGCAGCATTCAGAGTCGGCCGTGCCGACGAATCAATATACTCTCTGGTCGACGGGACGTAAACATAGAGTATCGCAATCGAATCAACGGCTGGCGAGCCCCGCCTTCTTGAGGTATCACCTGCAGACAAGGTAGCACAGCAGACAACCAGTCACACTTACGTCACGTGACCAGGCCAGGGATGACGTCACAACCTTGCCGCCGACAGCCGGTGACGCGCTGTTGACACTGGGTGGGGCATTATTGCACCCGGCGCGTGACCTGTGGCCGTCCTCGTCTCGGCCCCAATTGGGCGACCTAAGACCGAGACTAATCGCTTCAGAGTTCTCCTGGAGAGCGACCCGAGGTCAGCGTGGTGGCCGGGCGGCGCGCGCATCAACCACCAATGCATGGAGGCGCGGGAAGCAGACACTCAGGCCGGAGAGACATGCGTGAATTTACGGGGAGGCGTTCATGGTGTGGTGCGCTGCGACGTGCATTTCCTCCCCTCGAGTAGTCTGATGGTACGTGAGTCGGATGACGCACGTGCCTCCCGGCCGGAACAGCCGTTATCTAATCAAGCACCAGACGGTGTTTCAACGTCGAAGCTACGGCGAAAACTTCTGCCGACACGGCCGTGCTACGGCGTTAGTTATCCGCGATATTAATTTTACTGCAAAAACTTACACAGACTTTACTCATACACGACATTACTCCTGCTGCGAAGACTTGACACGACACGAATGTTACACGACAAAATTCATATTTCAGAAGGTTATATTCGTCGTGGCGTCCGTTGCAAAGATCTTTGCAGCCTATAGCTGTACGAGAAATCACTTCTCCTTGAAATATTCATACACGACATGAGTGTGGCACAACACTTATACTGCAAAAAAGCTGCAAAAATCATACCGTCATTACCTGTACAGCAAAGACATAGCTAGTGCCAACTTCTACGGGACATTTCTTCCGCTGCAGCGGGTTATATGTGACATACGTACAACGCAACAAAACTTGAAAAGTAATGAAAAACTTGTATCGAAAAAACTGCGCACGTCATTATGTATACCGCAAAAACCCATAGTTTTTTTACTTATCAGCGACATCACTTCTTCGGCCAACACTTATACGCGACATCTGCGCCATGTAACACATGCCAATCGCAAGTAAGTTGGATGGCGCGCGCACCTCCACAGCTCATAACCGTCAGTGTTCTACCCATGCGTGAGGCCTCACCAAAAATCCAGGAGGAAACGAACACATGGGAACACTTGGACGGGCGGCATCAGGCTGGAGGTGCGTACTTCGTGGCGCCAATACATTAATGTTGCTGCAAATATTGTGATCGACAGACCCGCGGCAGTTGCTTTAAGCGGCATTTTTAAGTGAAAAACACATGGTGCCCCGCCGCACTAGTACGCTGTATCGGTACACACCTTTCCATCACGGATGAGATGCGGGTGCGGCTCCGGAGAGAATACCTGACCACAGCGCTGACCTGGCGGACACGGCAAACGAGATTACGTCTACTACAATGAGTTGTGTAAGGCTCTAGTGCTGCATAACAACACTGACACTCCAAAAAGTGCAGTCCGCCATTGGGATTTTGCTGCCAAAACTGCAGACGTTGCTCATAAGCCAAGCACAACAAATCCACAAAATAGCCTAACATAATGGACAGCACATTTTCGTATCGAAGTCCAAGCCTGTGCATGCAGTCTCACCTAGTTGGGGTCCCCCCAAAAACTACTGATTGTTCCCCTTACCCCTCTGCGTGTTCACGCATTTTGCAATCCATGGGAAGTAATAGCAGTAGAAGTGCATACTACACAAACGTGAAGCTGTTAAAGCTTTTGGCATTACGAGGGCTGGCACTTATGCATTTTTGAAGTACAAGTTTTGTCGTGTGGCAATTATAACGTGCATAAATCTTTGAAGAAGAAGTAATGCCGTGTTTAAGTGATAGCCGCATAAATTTTTGCGGTATAAGTAAGGATCGGTGTAAGAAGCACGAATATCGGGTGTAATCATTGGCGGTAGAAGTAATTTCGTAGCTATCCTGTCGGTGGGAATGCTTTTTGTGGCACTAATGTGGAAGCCACCTGGACGTGTAGGTATCACTTAAGACGGAGATAATTACGCTATGTTTCGACCTGTACCAGTGGCTCAAGGATGATGCCGCTTGATTTAAGAAATATGTTTCAAACGTCAAATAATCCAAGCGAACCTATCTCGTGTCCGCAGTGGTACCGTTCGGTGCAGAAGGGAAGGTACCGTTCGGTGCAGGTGGGGAGGTACCGTTCGGTGTAGAAGGGGAGGTACCGTTCGGTGCAGGTGGGGAGGTACCGTTCGATGTAGACGGGGAGGTACCGTTCGGTGTAGAAGAGAGGCACCGTTCGGTGTAGAAGGGGAGGTACCGTTCGGTGCAGGTGGGGAAGTACCGTTCGATGCAGAAGGAGAGGTACTGTTCGGTATAGAAAAAGAGGTACCATTCAGTGCAGGTGGGGAGGCACCGTTAGGTGTAGAACGGGCGGTACCGTTCGGTATAGAAGGGGAGGCACCGTTCGGTGAAGAAGGGGAGGTACCGTTCGGTGTAGAAGGGGAGATACCGTTCGGTGTAGAACGGGCGGTACGGTGTAGAAGGGGAGGTACCGTTCGGTGTACAAGAGGAGGTACCGTTCGGCGAAGAAGGGAGGTACCGTTCGGTGTAGGAGGGGAGGTACGGTGTAGAAGGGGAGGTACCGTTCGATGTAGAAGGGGAGGTACGGTTTAGAAGTGGAGGTACCGCTCGGTGTAGAATGGGAGGCACCGTTCGGTGCAGAAGGGGAGGTACCGTTCGGTGAAGAAGGGGAGGTACCGTTCGGTGCATAGGGGAGGTACCGTTCGGTGTAGAAGGGGAGGCACAGTGTAGAAGGGGAGGTACCGTTCGGTGTAGAAGGGGAGTTACTATTCGGTGTAGAAGGGGAGGTACCGTTCGGTGTAGAAGGGGAGATACCGTTCGGTGTAGAAGGGGAGGTACCGTTTGGTGTAGATGGGGAGGTACAGTGTAGAAGGGGAGGTACCGTTCGGTATAGAAGGGGAGTTACTATTCGGTGTAGAAGGGGAGGTACCGTTCGGTGTAGAAGGGGAGGTACCGTTCGGTGTAGAAGGGGAGGTACCGTTCGGTGTATAAGGGGAGGTACCGTTCGGTGTACAAGGGGAGGTGCCGTTCGGTGTAGAAGGGAGGTACAGTGTAGAAGGGGAGGTACCGTTCGGTATAGAAGGGGAGTTACTATTCGGTGTGGAAGGGGAGGTACCATTCGGTGTGGAAGGGGAGGTACCGTTCGGTGTATAGGTACCGTTCAGTGTAGAAGGGAACTGCCAGCATCAAACATCAGCCAGGAGCAGGACACGCAGAATAAGTGGTGTTGCACCCATCCACAAGATGGAGGACCGAGGCAGACGAGCATGCCATGGGGTCGCATGGTGGTGTGGTGGACTAACAAATACACATCATATAATCATACCATTTTAATAGTTTACGGCCAGAAACAAGTCACAAAATCGGATCGCCCAGGTTTCCAACATTTCAACGCAGCTGAACAGTCCTTATACAATAATCAGCGATTTTGTCGGTTTCCAAAACACCCGCATGGCTTCATCCGCAGAGAGGATAGTCATCCAAGGACCGTAACTTTGCACGCAATAGCGGTGTCAAAATAACTCCGACAACCGCTTTCATACAGAGTTGCTACCAATCTCCAAGTGCAAGTTTAGTCGAACCCGCCCCCAAAAGACAGACAAATGGTCTCTTAAAACACGAGCATCCAAGCGCAAACGTCTAGACCCTGTCCGTAGTCCTCGAAGTGCCGCTAGAGCAGACACATGGTCGCTTCGGGACCGGAAGTTCAATTTCGTGAACACTGAGGCCCTCCGGTGAGCTTCATTTATCCCTATTTAGCAGTCTCAGTCCGGGAAAAACACCGCCACCCGAACCGCTGTCATTCCCTCCAGCCCAATGTCGGTGGAGCCTCTCTGGCGTACGAAACGCGATTTTTACCTTGTTTCTGTCCATGAGCCGTCATAGGGTCAATGCTATGCGTTGCCCGGAGTTGAGAACCAGTTACCCCCCCCCCCCCCCCCTCGCCCTCCACCAACCCTGTCCCGATCACCACCGTCCGGGTGTTGTCAGCCGGGTGTTCCGTCCTCCGTCCACCGCCGTCCCACAATGTCATCTCCTGAGTGTCAGTTCGTGATGTGGAAATATCCCAGCTGGTGGTTAGATAGATCCTTGATGACCCGTTCCCCAATTTCGTAGGCTGAATTTATCTGATCGCGCAATAAACTTGGTTTGATTGATCAACACGCAAACCACGCTGGATCGTGCAACACCTGTGTGTTCCCCTGCTCGTCTGCATACACGTGCGAACGTGTAACCGGGGGTAGTTCAGGACTGGTGCAAGCCAAGGAAACAGGGATCATCTTATTGATCAAATGGCTTGCTTTCCCATCCTTCAGATCCCGCACGCAAAACCCTTAACAGGAGTTTGTTCCGCACACCAGGAGTTTGTTTCCCACATGAGGAGTTTACCTCTCACATCAGGAGTTTGTCTCCCGATCGTCGATTGAACCCCAGGCGTTCGATCCTGGCAAGACCCCCAATTATGTCGCATGAATGACAGCCAACGGCATAGTCAGGGCGGTGCGACTCCAGACTGGTGAGTCAGAGTATCAGTCGGTCAGCACGCAACCTAAGCGTGAAAAGTATCGCTATCTTGCTGATGACTCAAGATATCGGCCTGTCAACGCGCTACAAAAGTGCGACACCTGTCGCCATCTTGCAGAGGCTGTTGCGTGGTTCGGTCGATTCAACTGACGTCATTTACAACGAGCGTCATCATAGGCTGATCACACAGTTCTGACGTTGGGCCTGTGGTGCGAATGGTCATCGCTTGGTGTGCGCTGAAAAACAGACCGCGATCAGCGTGTGCCAGTCATTTGCCATATCTTTCTCTGTAGAATCAAGTCATCGAGGTTCGGCGAACGGCACAACGGAGCTGGTTTTCCGCGACATGTGTGGTGTCTTCTGGTTGTCCTTATTTAGTCACACATTCGGGAGTCATTATGGGCACATAAAACAAGTACGCTAAGGGTCGACCAATGCCTTCACCCGCAGTAAGTCTCCTCGATCATTAGTTGGTTCGGTGTTATCTGAGCCACAGTCCACGGAACTCAAAACCTGGCGAGCTGTTCCGACCAGACTGAACTGTACTCAACCGCACGCTGCTCACTCAACGTCCTACACATGCTCATAACGACGCCTCCATACCTCGGCGCAATATAAGCAACACGGCGGACGAGCACAAGCGCGCCGCGACAAGTTTCTGGCACGACGCGCAGCTGACGCCGCCGACAGCGCGACCCTGACGGCATCGACCGCCGAACAGACACCCCCTGCTGCCGTCTTCTGCTGTCGGCGACACCCCACGACAGTCACGAGCTCGCCGAGCGACACCGACGCCGTCCGCACGCACGCACGGAAAAACTGCATTAGGCGCGAGCGCGTTTTGGACTTGGGCGCGTGCAGCGCGCACACTGCCGGCACGGGCGCGGCGGGTGACGTGTCTCAGCGCAGGCGGCAGGGCGGGCTGCACCGGCCCCGACCGGGCACCCGGGCCGGCGACAACCGGAAGACGGCGCGAGTGACCAGCAAGGGCACGACAGGCATTGGCGGGGCGGCCTGCCCGCAGTGTCCGATGTGCCGGGGAAGTGTCACGCCCATTGGTCGGCCGACGGCTCCCAGACTGTGTCCGCTTTACAGCTCTAAACTGACGTTGGCGGATGGGAGCCACGCGCGATCAGCAGATTGTTATCCGCCTTCACCGCTTCGGATAACGTTGGCCGGCCCGTCCCTGTAGCTTGTTCGGGCTCTCACCAGTTGCCATTAGCTCAGATAAGAACAACACACATAAAAAGCATATGAAATCTCCAGACGCCCACACCCACGCAGCACGAGCCTCCCACACCAATCCCAATCCTGTAACGATTCTCAAGACGCGATCTCGGCACAAGCTCGCCACGCTTCTCGGAGACAGGAGCGTCCTCGTGACGGTCGACCAGCGCGCCTGAGGCCGCGGCTGACCTCACGCTGGAGGCCCGGCGGGGCGCGGTGACGTCATGCCGGAGGCCCGGCAGGGCGCGGTGACGTCATGCCGGAGGCCCGGCGGGGCGCGGTGACGTCACGAAAGGAGTCCCCGGCTCCTCTCCGAGCGCGCCTCAAGACAGACGACCGCCGTGTCCTGGCCGGTCTCTGCAGCAGACCGACAGACGGCGCACATTAAGACGGGGGCTTTCGCCAGGCACAGACGCAGTGAAGCCTTTATTCACAACACAGTCATTTAGGGCGCGTCTTCGTCGTGAAGTCAAAACATGCATCCGAAAGTGCTTTCACAGCGGGATAGCTGTGCAGGGCACTGAGCGACAGCCAGACGCAGCAATGCAGCACGCGCAAAATATGAACGGCCTTCAGGTTTTGTGTCAGCTGTTTATCTGATGACTGATCATATTTTGCGCGGCTGGTGCGAATGTACCTGGCCATAGCCTACCGGTGCACAATAAGCATAGCTAGGCTAACCTGTATGATCTTACTTATTTCCGTCGCATGTTGCATGACCAGCAGCTTGCAATAAATCGTTGACACATACATAACCACTCATGCAAATATTTACGTTTCATATGGCGAACAGTCACCGGTTAAACAGCCCTGTTTGGCGCGGAGGCGATCCATCACTCGGCCGTATGTCGCAAGCCCACCCAGGATGCCTCAGGATGCAACAGAGCGACGGGCAAGCGGCGCCGCACTAGCCGCGGCTCAGGATCGCGCCCTGCGGCGTAACATGAGCGAACACACGACGGAAAGGGGCCAGGTCACAGGGGGAGACGAGAGACACAGGCTTCCGGGCCGACGAAGACGGAGCGGGAGGCCTCTCATCTCGGCTCGGGGAGTCCAGGCGTCACACAGACGGAGACGGGACGAGAGGCCTGCCATCTCGGCTCGGAGAGTCCAGGCGTCACACAGACGAAGACGGAGCGGGAGGCCTCTCATCTCGGCTCGGGGAGTCCAGGCGCGATCAGCTTTACCGACGGAGACGGGACGAGAGGCCTCTCATCTCGGCTCGGAGAGTCCAGGCGTCACACAGACGGAGACGGGGCGAGAGGCCTCTCATCTCGGCTCGGAGAGTCCAGGCGTCACACAGACGGAGACGGGACGAGAGGCCCCTCATCTCGGCTCGGAGAGTCCAGGCGTCACACAGACGGAGACGGGGCGAGAGGCCTCTCATCTCGGCTCGGGGAGTCCAGGCGTCACACAGACGGAGACGGAGCGGGAGGCCTCTCATCTCGGCTCGGTGAGTCCAGGCGTCACACAGACGGAGACGGGGCGAGAGGCCTCTCATCTCGGCTCGGGGAGTCCAGGCGTCACACAGACGGAGACGGGACGAGAGGCCTCTCATCTCGGCTCGGGGAGTCCAGGCGTCACACAGATGGTGACAGAGCGGGAGGCCTCTCATCTCGGCTCGGGGAGTCCAGGCGTCACACAGACGGAGACGGAGACGGGACGAGAGGCCTCTCATCTCGGCTCGGGGAGTCCAGGCGCGATCAGCGTTACCGACGGAGACGGGCGAGAGGCCTCTCATCTCGGCTCGGAGAGTCCAGGCGTCACACAGACAGAGACGGGGCGAGAGGCCTCTCATCTCGGCTTGGAGAGTCCATGCGTCACGCAGACCCGGCGGAGGACAACAGATGAGGGTACACACCCGCAGACACCAGGCGCACAAAATGACGCGTTATCGTATTGTTTCCAAGTTACGCAAGCTGGCCTTGTTCCTTATCTCTACTTGTAGATTCAGAGTTAGTCTTGACAAGGCCGTGAAGTATCTATACCATCACTTATCCCTTAGTGTAGACAAAAACACAGTGCTCCGAAATAGTGTGCTGTGATGCAGTGCAAGCTGTGGGTGAAGCATTCCCGTGTACGGCACACAAGTCAACGTCAGCAGATCAAACCGTGTCACAAGCATATATCGAGGCCAGGACCAAACGAGTTTCAGAGTGGACTGTTTAACGTCCACTTTAACAGCCTGTGCAAAATGACTGTAACCAAACGAAACAAAACTGACAGTTGGCAAGCAGGTCGCCGGACAGACAAGACAAAACTGACATGCAATCATTGAGCCTACAACTTGCTGGCGTTGATCAACCCATAGCCGGCACTGTTTAGATCAATGCACACATGCCAGGGTCATGGCAGATCAAGTCAACGTACAACAGTGAAACAGGTTCCCTGAGACACTGGATAGCCTTAACACGGTTAGCACTACTCTGTCTAGGGCTGGAAAGCTACTCGCGCAAAAGGGCGGCTGCTCAAACAAAATCAATGGCCTGACGGCTTTAGGCGCGGGGAGCGACGCGGCGAGGCGGCGCGGGGAGTGATGCAGCGAAGCGGCGCGGGGAGAGACGCAGCGAGGCGGCGCGGGGAGCGACGCGGCGAGGCGGCGCGGGGAGTGACGCGGCGAGGCGGCGCGGGGAGCGACGCGGCGAGGCGGCGCGGGGAGTGACGCGGCGAGGCGGCGCGGGGAGTGACGCGGCGAGGCGGCGCGGGGAGAGACGCAGCGAGGCGGCGCGGGACACACATGGCACGTAGCGAAGCACACACCTTCGCCCATTCGACACTGTCACCCCCGGACCTCACCCAGCAAACCGTTCGTCTCCTCACACGACCGTTTCCTCGGGAGCGTCACGTTCCACGCCAGCTGAAACTTGCCCTTCGGGGTGTAGATGAAGCTGCCATCTGTGGAGAAGGTGGCCAACTAACGTTATTGCCGTGGCCGCACCGTGCCGACGGGAGACCAAAGGCAGCAGCAGAAGTCGGCCTATCAGAAAACAGAATATCGCGCTCAAATGCGGTTTGATTTACGATAAGTCCAGGCAACATTTCAAAATTATGCGCATATATAAATTATGCCATTCAGTTCTCAAAGGAACCCTGCACTGCACACTGCTACTTTAAATAACGAAATGTCTAAGTTCTTGCGTTTGCGCTAGGTGGGATAATTGTTCAATGGGTACCTTAACTGTCCAATCATTCCAGTCATGGCTCGGCGCTAAAAATATCCCAGCCAGTACCGGTATAGTCTCAATGCATAGAAGACAGCAATGGGATATCCGGATTCGCAACAGGGCAGCCGCAGAGGAGCCCCATGAGCACCGGTCCCTGTGGCCCTGGACAGGCCTCAGGCGCCTGCGTCCCCCTACCTAGCGCCGTCGGCGGTCGGAGGAAGGCAAGCCTGTCGGCCGCGGCGGCGACGCCGACCGCTCGCCGGTCAGCCAGTCAGGCCGGTCCAGCCGCCCGCCGGCCAGCCACGGCAGCTGACTGAGGCCGCGCCGGCGCGACCGCGGCCGCGGTGCCATCCGCCGGGCCAGCTCCGCCTCGGGCAGCTCCGTCATCTGCTGCAGGCCTGCCGGGCCGGCCGCCGGAGTCGGCACACGCACACGCCCGGTCGGGGCCGCGCCCGGCAACGCATGCACTCACATCAGGGGATCACGGACGTGTTCAGAACAGCACAGACTGGTCTCCACGGAAAGAGGGAGGGTCCGGTGGTCAGGTGAGCATAGGGTTTCCGCATCCCATCAGAGGCAACAGGTTTGCACCGCACACCGCGGCAAGGCATATATGGAGCGACCATATGCAATCAAAACAAAAACAAACCTCAACCGAAGCCCGCCACAGAGGCCACAGCTAAGGCCCAATCCCGTCACAGCAGGGCAACTCAGGGCGCCGCCAGGGCAGGGTAACTCAGACTCCGGCTACAACTACGCGGCGTCAGCTCCAACCGGACCGATCAGGCCACGGCTGCAGCGGACCCGCCCGACTCCGTCAAACCCCTCGCAGCTGCGCTACAAGCGTGCGCTGGATCGCATGTACCAGACCACGGGCGGGGACAATGGGACGCGGCGCCTACCCCCCCCCCCCCCCCCCCCCCCCCCCACCTCCTCCCCTCCCACTCCGCACGCTGTACGTCGTCCAGCGCGTGCTGACGTCACCACTCACACGCAGCGTGCACGGCGGCCACGGGCACGTGGCGGCGCGGGTCACGCGCCAGCCGCCGCAGTCGCACGTGGCGGCGGCAGAGGCGGCGCGAGAGGCGCCAGACCGGAGCCGGCGCCAGCAGGAACGGGTCGCCAGGCCGACGAGGCACGGGCGCGGCGAACCGCCGGCTCGGAATCCGGGCGGCGGCGGGCTCGCCTCGGTCCGGCGCCGCCGCCGGTTGCCGCTCCGGCTCTGTGAGCACAGCATACTGGTGAGGTGGGGGCTGCTGTGCGTCCAGATCGGGGGGAGGGGGGGGGGGGCGACGACGGTGACGGTGAACGCTCCAGTGCAAGCATCGCCGCTCTGCTGCGCGCAGAATGACAGATGACGATCGCCGGCGCGATCTCGACGATCGGCCGCCGCCGCTGGAGACTAAACATGTGGCCGGAATCACTCAAGATGCCTGCACCCAGGTAGCTGACGAAACAACAACCACTCTGGCTTTCACTCAAACCGACCGTGAGAATGCCGGTGGCCAAACAAGTCTCCAGCGAGCTCGCTAGCGCAACACGTCGGTCGCAGCATCCGTTCGTCACAGCAGCCCGGCCGGCGCGCTGCGTCCGTACCTGAGGCCGAACGCCGTCGCAAGCCGCCGTAGCGTCGCCAGAAGAGCCAGCACTGCGCGCAGAGTCGCGCCGCACCCCAGGCGACCCAACGCTCCGAGCTGACGGCTGCGGCAGCCCACGGAGCATAGTCACACGCCGCGCGGGCTTACATGGCACAGGGCAGAGGTCCGGGCACGCTGGGCGATCAAAAAGCTCGGGCTGAACATGCCGAGAGGGTGCCGGGCACATTACCCGACCGTAATTCGGTCAGACGCTGCCCCCCTCCCCCCCCCAAACGCTGGTCCCACAAAACGCAAAAACATTAGCAGGACAACAAAACACTTCCCAAGAACACCTTGTGTCAGCCCGTGGCTAGATGCACAGTCGACTACCACATAACTATTCGCCTTGACCTCCTGTCCCGAACATGTTGTCCTGAACATGTACATGCGAACGCTTCCGCCCCTGACCACAGCTCCCACCCAACCGGCCCGCCCAGCCCCGCACCAGCGTCAGAGGCGCGCGCACTGACCGGAGCAGCCGGCACAGGCCGGCCCCGGCCCGGCATCGTCCTCAGCGCAGGTCACGGGGCCATCGCCAGCGTCGGCCGGTCGCGCCGGCGGCACACACACCCGCGCCAGGCGCGCGCGCGCGGCCGCCGCCGCCACCTTGGCGCGCCGGCGCAGAAGACAGCGGCCGGTCGTTTTCCAGAGGTAGTAGTACTCCACCAGCTCGGCGGTGCTCTTCCAAGGCAGCTGTCAGCGAATGCACGGGCCGTAAGGTGTCAGTGCCCGGGGATCGCGGCCAGGGGTTCGCCCAGCCCGCGCGCTCCACATTGCGACGGCTGGTCCAGCCGTCGCAAGGTGGAGCGCGGAGCTTTTCGGTCAGGTGTACGCCGACTTAATGCGGTACGTGAAATACATACGGTCACTCAATGTCAGAAAGTTGCAAGGAAATATACGCAGACGCATTAATTCAGCAAGGGTAGCGCATTTTGCAGGTAGTAAGGTCGGCATAAAAACGAATGGCTTCATTTCATTGCGATATAAACAAATTCACACGAGGAAGCTTGCGATTACAGGCACTCATTTGTCAGGCAGCCAAAAACGACAGCCAAGTCTGAGCAAGACAGCCGCAGCCTCAGCCTTCCAGCCTCCGCCATACAGCACTCACAAAGTCTCGCCTGATCTCCGCGAAGTTCTTGCCGAGCTTGCCGAGCGCCCGCTCGAAGATGGCCGCCTCGTCGGCGGACCAGGCCTCCAGCTGGTCCTGGCACAGCGAGGCACCGCCGGACGGCACCAGCGCCGCCAGCGCCGCCGCCAGGTCGTACCCGCTCCGGTGCAGAGTGTCCATGGCGTGGAGCTGCGGTGGAGCGCCCCAGAGGTCAGGCCGGCGGCCCCGAGTCCCGCACGCTCTCCCAGGGGACTCCCGCGCGTCCGGACCGTTACGCCGGACAGGATCCCGAGTCGCACACCTCAGACGCAGCACGGTCCGGCACAGGTCACAGCCACGTGCAAGATTCTGCATTTCACGCGATGCGAACCGCCACCAGCCGTCGGCTGTCACCTGACAGACCAGAGCCAGTCTCACACCACAGTTCTGCGGACAACTTACACATGACAGATGTAGCAAAGCATCTAACGCTCAATACATACAAAATGTGATTACGTGCAGCAGTAATAGATGAGCCGGCCACCCAACTGAAGTTAACCGCATCACTGAGTCGGGGTTCGCCTCACGGACAGGTGGAGGGCGGGACCTCACCAGAGTCACGTCCCTGGACGCGGCGGCGGCGGCCAGGTGCAGGCTCGGCTGGCACACTGAGCCGGGACAGTCCAGCGCGCGCGCGAAAGTGCCCACCGACCTGAGGCGACCGGCGCAGCACGCATTGTCAGGCGGTGCACCGGTGAAGAGGTGCACGCGGAGAACAGGCGCTGCATCGGGCAGGGGGTAAACGCAGGGAAAAGGCGTTGCAGAGGGCACTGTAGGTGCACGCGTGGAAAAGGTGGTGCGGCGGGTGAATACGGAACAGGCGGTGCGGAGGGCAGAAGGCGAACGCAGAGAAAGGGCGATGCTGGGGACATTAGGTGCACGCGGAGAAAAGGCGATGCTGGGGACATTAGGTGCACGCGGAGAAAAGGCAATGCTGGGGGCAGTAGGTGCATGTGGAGGAAAGGCGGTGCAGCGGGCAGGTGAACATAGGGAGCACTCTCTGGCTGTGGAAGGTTTGCTCTTGGGGTATTGTGAGGGCAGGGACAACAGTATTCTAAAGGCAGGCACAGAGTGCTCTCTCTGCATGCATTCTGCATTCTGAACGCAGACTGACAGACGTCTGACGCATCATACAGTCGTTGTCACGTCCTCTAGCTCATCGCTGCGACCCAAAATCCGATTGCGGTTTTATGTTGGCAATCACATTTTGGTCAACCACACTTCTGCATGCAAATTCAAATGTAAACATCAAAATCAGTCAAAGCTTCTCTCACATACACAAAATCACTGCATAACAGTAAACCATACTTTCCGACATCACACTTCTTTGTCTGGCCCACTTCACCTCACCATGCATATGAGCACCAAACCCCACAGACCATACCCCCTCGTCCCTGTCCCACTGACCGGGCCAGCAGCAAGAACCGGTCCAGCTGGTCGTCGGTGAGTCGGTGGCGCGGGCTCCAGATCAGCGTGTCACGGCCGGTCGCCGCGCCCGGCTCGCCGACTGCCGGCACTGTCGCCTGGTGGCGCTCACCCAGCCGCACCTCGCCGCGGTCCGCTACCAGGGTGCGCTGCACTGGGTCATACAGCAGCGTGTAGAAGAAGCTGTCCTGTCAGCGGGAGACAAGACACTGATGACGTGCTGGTGGGGTGGCAGGGAGTGCTCAGGGCAGGCACGGCATGTGCCTCCTTCTTGTGATAAACGAACTGTCAGTGTTGTACCGGTAGCAGTGCGAAATTATTCGTCCGGTTCATTTGTTCGCCCAGTGCATGCAATGCTATGCAGTGAGGTTCACAGCACACCCTCCTCCAAGTACCCTGCCTTGCTGTATGCAAGGCCCTGATGTGATGAAGCTTTGCTGAACCATGTCTTGAAGGCACCCTAATGCGAGCCTGACGACGCGAACCCCATCTTTACTCCCAACAGAGTTCTTCTTCACTACTTCACCTGGTTCGCCGACCCTTCCTCTCCCCCCCCCCCCCCCCACCCACCCGTAGGTTCCCAGGTCCGCACCTCGCGGTCCAGGTACTGCTCTGCCTGTTCTGAGGCGGTGAGCAGGGTGACGAAGCAGCGGCCGCGGATGCATGATGCCGGCAGCGTCTCCACCTGGCGGGATGGGAACAGCTCGCGCTGGTCCACCAAGTGGCGTGGCTGAGAGCTTCGGCCACCAAACCCAGCGTCTTTGGCTCCACCTCGATCCAGCCCTATGGTATCTGGGGCCACACATATGGAACCTGGTCACGATGGTAAGTTGAATCCTGTGAGAATGTCATTGGAAAGCAACAAACGTTCCACAGATTTAGCATATGAATTGCACTTCATTGAATGTGTTTTGCATTTTGCTCTTTCATTTGCATTGGTTTCAATATCAATTTCATTGCAGTTTCACATGATATAACTAACATTGCACACATGTGGAAGAGTAAACCAGCATCACTTGTGCAATCGCTGGTGGACAGAGGGCAATAAAATGCATGTTTCTGTAAATGGACATACATACCACTTAAACCAAAGCTCACCTATTGATGCGATTAGAGATGATGGGATGTCTCCACGACGGTACAGACACGTCATCTTGGCTTCTACAACACTGCCAGTATTCTGCAAATGTGGTTTGTTCTCAGTGTGCATTTTATACTCACTCAGCTTATCAAGTTTGAATACCATACACACAGCACTGAAAAAGATAAAAAAGAAAAGTTTACTGTGGATATCAATAGAATGTTTTACATTTTTGGCAATTTTTCAACCCTTTCTCCATTCTGGTAACACACTGATTAAAATGGGCGTAACTCCCCTCCCTGTGTTTACATTGTGCAAGTGAAATACCCCAAAAATAGCATCCATTTAGCCTCTAACTGAGCCAAATAAAAAAACTGTGGTAACAAATACCCAAATACAACACATCATCACACACAGTTAAAATATGATGTTTGCATTCAAGGCATGGTTAATATTTGTTATTTACTAACATGCAATCTGCCAATGTCTGCACAGGTTTTGCTAATGTAATGCAAGTTACAAACACTTCCATTAAATTGTTCCCTCTTCTAGTCTTTTTCATAGTTAATTCCAATTGCTGAAGCTAAAAACAACACAACAGGCACAAAATATGACACACAGCGGCATCCTAAATTGTCACCTGTTTCAGTTCTTCAATTCTGCGAACCTGGTATGGATCTGTGGGGGACACTTCACAATAAACATAATCTGTAAAAAACACAGGATGAGCATGAGTTCCTCATCAATGAACATGGTGTACCACGACACATATCGGTAATTACCATTAACCAGATAATAAGCAATGTGGAGTATGACAGGCATCATGAACTGAGATGAAATATCGAGGATCTTACAAGAAAATTGACTGCACTCATATGCTGATGTTTTACGACCTAAGCCTCCTCAATGCGCATTCTTCCAACGCATACTATCAAGAAGCCAGCAAACGCGCACCAAAACAAAACATGAGAAGCTGGGAAGATACTGTCAACAAACCAACACCCAGACAAGCATTTCGTATGGAATGCCAATGACCATGATTCTTCCAGCTTCAACTTACCTCCAGCCTGATACGTATTTGAGTCTGCTGCGTGCACAAACATGTCCGCAAGGACAATAACAGCCCCTCAGACCGCCGACCCAAACGCCCGCCCTCGCGTATGACAATTTACCGATGTTTCGAAGCCAATAACAGAAGCGCCCGATTGGTAGTCCAGATGCCTCATGTGCGCAGCCTTTGTGTTCATCAGGAGCATTTATACTTGGGTCCAATAACGAGGAACCACTTTGATTTGAGATGATTGGTTTGAATAATTAGGCATTGCACCAGATCCTTGCCCACTTCATTTTACCTCAGAACTTCAGAAATATGCATGCAACATTTGCCGTGGCAAGTTCCGAGTGACAAACACCATCCCACCTTGGCCGATGGGGGGGGGGGGGGGGCGGAATGGGTACAATCCCACCACGGAAACACCGGCGCGCCCGTCGTGATCCCCTTGCGCGGAAAGGCGACCTTTTCCTTCCTTCGTTATTCTAGGCACCTGTTTGTTCACCTCACATCATCAGTTTTCCCACCCATTACGCGTTAGAACCTGGTGATAACCCCGACATCAAACGCGAGCCGAGCGAAGCCCCAGCCGGGGGCAATGGGAGCCCTCCCAAAGAAGAGGAGGGAGTTAGCTATTTACCCCAATTAGCGCCCATAAAGCTAACGCTAAATGTCTGGAGAATTTGAGACTAAGCCTCCCCCGAACTCTCCAGTTCCCGCGTCCCTGACACCACCTGATCTCTGCTGTTGGTAAGTGGAAGAATAGCGCTCCAGCATTACTGAGTCGCCGCTTCGCTGTCCCTTGCCCGCCGACGCTGGTGGTGGCACGCGATGTGTCTGCGTCCTTCGTTCTTTTGTACAACACATTCATGTAGGCCTCGACATGGTTTGAGTATCAGTGTATAATCTGGGTAGCACTGCTGGCAATGGCTCATGCCAGTGCTTGACGCAAATCAGAACGGTGTGCTTCATGCCCCCAAAATAAACAGCTGTATGATTGTACTTGTGCATTTGCTGTAGCAACACTATCTACACTAGCAATACATCTGAATGCAGTGAAAAGTTGGTCTGCATTCAACTGGCTGCCCAATAAATACACGTAGAGACATATTCGACGACTTCGACAAGTATAAACGCAATCTGTTCACTAAGCAGTTGGCACGAGTAATGAGGGTATTGTACGCTCACTCTATGGCGGTTTCCAAGGCACTGAGAAGAAAGCATAGCGGCACAAATGGAGCCCAATGGTCTGGACAGTTCCATATAATGAATCATGGGAAGCGTCGGGACCGCGCATTGGTCGCTCCTGGGCCCCAGATGCCCCCCCCCCCCCACACAAACACACACGGGGCGAGCGCCGGTACACCAGTACAGGCAAGCAGATCAGCACGAAACAAGCACACTAACGCAGTGTCACCTGGATAACAAACAAATAACGCTTCTAAGCGCCTCCCTCCACGGCAGCGAAACAAAACAACGACCGCCGCAGGCCGGCGCGGGCGCCAAACTGAGATCGCTGGCCTGTCGAGCTCCAGCGTGCCCCCCCCCCCCCCTCCCCAACGCGTGCCGCCGAACCGGCGGAGGCGGACCGCTCCGCGGCTGGCGCACTAGAGATGGCACAGTGGCGGCGCCTGGCTGCCGGCACACACACTTCCCGGCGACCCCGGTCCGGCCCGAACAGCACGCGGCCGGGCACCCCGTGGAACTCCTCATGAGCAGCAACGGTCGGGACGGAGGCGGAGACGCGGCGCAAACCACGCGCCGAAGTGAGAGATCGCTCAGTAGAAAAGGCGGTACAAAATTATCAGAGTAGACAAGGCTTCGTACGAGCATGCTGACGAGTGGATTGACGAGTGACGTCACGCCGCATGACCTGTCACCGAAAGACCATTAGTCGGCAAAGGGTTTTTCAGCTTGCCTCGCTGGGTTGCAGGAGTGGACAGAGGCAGAGGAGAAAGTGGCAGCACCTGGTGCTACCTCTTCGACAGATTCAAGGGTGCCTCTGAAAAAGGAGAGTACGTGAGCGTTACGAGGGCGAGCGGGACAGGTGCCGCCGAGCACATTGATCTCTCAACCCTCCTCATTTTAGGGGTAATTACGTACGTTCATTTGATACCTAACACCTCTGTATATGTGGCCATGACGAAATACAGGCAAAAACAGGCAGGCAGCCAGCCTCTAACGATACTAGGAGGAAGTCAGCAGCACTGGAGCCATCCATAGATCGTCCAAGAAAATTTCCTTACTACATATTTTCAACCACCACACAGCTTCCCACTACACCCGGGCGCTTACCGTCTCGGCACTGGCCGTAGTCGAAGGCGAACGCGTGCAGTGGAGCCTGGTGGGCGGGGCTGGGCCGCGGCAGCAGCGGCACCGGCCGGTGCACGGCCGTCTGGCTAAGCCGCGCGTACAGCAGCGGCGAGACCAGAGGGAACGGCGCCGGACAGTCGGTCGGCGGCGGCACGGCGCACAGCCGCGCCCCGGTCGCCGCCGCCTCCAGGTACGCCACGAGCGGAGCGCTCCGGTACGGCGGCGTCCCGTCCGTCGGCGCCGGCGGCGGCGGCTCGGCCGGACGGCCCGACGCCGCCAGCAGCGAGTCGATGCTATGCACCATCGACGCTCTGTGCGCGCCGGCGCCGAGCGCAGGGCGCAGGGCGGACGCGTGGCGCGCGGCCGGCGTCGGGCGGCCGCTTCCGGGGGGCCTGTCGGGCGGCGGACGCGACCGGCGTGCCGGGCGTGCCAGCGCGGCGACCGCAGCGCTGCCGTCGCTCGGCCAGCCGCTGCACGGCGGCCACCAACCCGGCGGCGCGCGCCGCCGGGTCCCGCGCCGCCGGGTCCCGCGCGCTCGCCGCCGGCGGCCGGCCGGCCGGCGCTGCCGGCGCGGAGCTGGCCGGGGCGGCGGCGTGCCGCGGCCGCCGACCGAGGCGCCGCCTGGCGGCCTGGTCCGACCCGGCGCCGCCGGTCCGGCCCTGCCAGAGCAGCGTGCCAACCGGACGCCGACGCGGCGAACACTGCTTCCGACGCCCAGCCGGCGGGCGGCCGTGGGGCCGGCGATGATCGGCCATCTGTCGGGCCAACAGCGAAGCAATAGCTGGCGGTAAGCATGCGAGGCAAGTCTCCCCATCACAGAAACACGCCTAGCCGCTGGAACAGGCAGCAGACGTAACCAAACAGAGTGCATCGTATCGAGATTGCGTGTCTTTGAACGTAGCAGTACACAAGGTAGAGCACACAACGCACGTTCTTGCATCAGATCGCTAGAGCCAAGTGATCAGAGCTTAATACGATAATAACCCATCAATCCCTCTGATGGAAAATTGTGATCGGTGAGCTAATACAAAAGCACGACAAACTAATCACCACAAAAAAAAAACACATCACAGGTCCTCGCACTTGTTCCTGCCCGATCCCGTAAGCCTTCCCTGGCTTGTGAGAGTGAGAGCCCCGTGTCCGCCGAGAGCCCGCCGGCCGTCCGTACCGACGCCGGAGCCCCGTGTCCGTCGCCCGGGCCGTCAGCACCGGCGCCGGAGCCCCCCTGTCTGTCGCCCTGGCCGTCAGTACCGGCGCCGCGGCCGTCCGCACCGACGCCAGAGCCCCCGTGTCCGTCACCCCGGCCGTCCGCACCGGCGCCAGAGCCCCTGTGTCCGTCACCCCGGCCGTCCGCACCGGCGCTAGAGCCCCCGTGTCCGTCGCGCCGGCCGTCCGTACCGTCGCCAGAGTCCCTGTGTCCGGGGCCCCGGCCGTCCGTACCGGCGCCAGAGCCCCCGTGTCCGTCGCGCCGGCCGTCCGTACCGGCGCGAGAGCCCCCGTGTCCGTCGCGCCGGCCGTCCGTACCGGCGCCAGCGGCGATGGTGTCCACAGGCGCGGCGACCGTCGTCGGCGGCCAGCAGGTGTCGCGGCTGACGGCCACCCAGCGCCGCTGCCAGCCGTCCGGCGGGCCGTGCGACAGCTCCAGCAGCACGTGACCGTCTGCGGACCAGCCGGCACGGTCAGTACGCCAAGCCCGGGCGCTGCACTTACGGTTTGGGTCAGGCCTTGCAGGGGAAAGCAATGTGCACAGAAATGATAGTAAAATTCACCAACAATAAAAGTTCCACTGCCGAATATGAGCAAATCAACACAACAACGAAACCGTGCGACTGTTGGCATTGCTACGATACGCTACTGCGAAAGGGGGCATCTTGCCACATCTTCCCCACTTCATGCACCCTACCCACTGTTCAGCGTGGGGCGACGCCCACAGAGATCAGTGCTCCGCACCGGCGCCTGACCCCGCGGCGCCATACGCGACAGCGCGCCCTACGCCGCCGCCGCTCGCCGACCAGCTCACCTCTGCCGAAGAACTTGAGTCGACCGGCAGCCGGAGCGCGCGTGGCCTCGCCGGGCCGCTGCTCGGGCTCAGAGAGTGGCGGCGAGAGGGTGGCCGACGGCGCCGGTGACAGCACGCCCGCCGGCGGCGCCAGCTGCGTCAGCCCGGCCGGCGGCCGTGCCGTCATCGCGGCCGCGCCACCATCTGCCCGCACGCGCCGTCGACGTTAGCGCGCACGCGCTCAGCTGCTGCAGTGCCAGCGGGACAAGGAAGGGTTCACATTCGTTCTGACGGTCGTCAGCAACTTCGCCATTCTGAAGGGCGAGGGGAAAGGGATAACTACATCACCACTCTAATTGCCTTGCATTGGAAAGGGTTGGGGAGGGGGGGAATAATCGTGATTTTTCTGATGTGTCTAATGTCAGAGTCAAGACCATACCAGGTTAAGGACATATTTTCTGTTTAATCAGGTTTGCACCACATAGTGCACACTGAGCCCACTTTTGCATGCATTAATCTGCCTCATATATTAATGGGACTGGGAGCACCAATCGTCATCAACCAGTAATGTTTTACATAGGTTGATGTTGATCATCCAGCTTGTTTGCCATGTCCTTAGAACATAACTGTATTTGCCAACCAGTTATGCTCATTTTTGACCAGCAATAGCCATCAGCTGAGTCAAAACATCTATCCCCAATTTTAACTTGGTTCAGAAACCTTTTTTTGACCTTTCTGAGATCACAGTATTGTGTCTAGCAAATAATTTGGTGTCAGACAAAATAATGCCTTAGGCTAAAGGCTAATGAATAGAATGCAACAAAAATAGTTCAAATATCCAGGCAATGTAGGGCCAATGATAATCCTTTCACAATCAGCATCCCATCTTAGACTTATTGCTATCACTTCAAACCATATCATGATGTATGCATGCTGGGGTGAAAGAGCATATGAGACTGCTGAGCAATGCCCATAATGCATAATGTTTCAAAATGTACATTTTCAGCCAAGCCGGGTTGAGTACCAATAATGACATTTGAGGTAAAAATGTCACAAACAGGGACATGATACTTCTGGGCAAGTGTCCAAAAACAACCAAAAAGTCAGGCCATTATAATGGATGTCACCAAGCTCAGAGCTCAATGTTAAGTTGAATTGGCTACCTATGCTTAACACAGCTAGATATTGTGAGGTCTGGAGTGACACTATTGGACAAACAATTAGGAAAATCAAACAATACTGCATAGCAATGCATTGCAATAACTCAAGCTCACACAAAACCTTGTCATGTCATCTTAGACTAAAATGGCCCATAGTTGCTAACATCCGAAGGCTGGCAGAGCATAGTACCATTCAATATTGTTCAAAAACATTTACAGGCTTCAGCAGCTGAAATACAGCACACTTTTTCAGAAAAAATGGACATGTTTTTAACTTATTTCAACTTATTGCAGTAAGATGAAGTTATCCAAGCTGCATGAAGTGATACAATATATATATATATATATATATATACATTGTTATATACATCACTTCCATAAAAAAGTACCAAGGTCTGTTTAAGAAATTGCAATGAATTATTTTTCCCAATTTCACTGACACAAGTGAAACAAAGTTATACATTCACAGTGCTTTCCAACCCAGTAACATAGCAATACAAGCTTATTATTTACAGTTTTGCAAGTAGTTTGTGATCTTATGTCATCAGAAATGGTACAATGCAGTGAGAACCATGAAGTGGACCAATCCATGCTTAAATATCTATCAATTAATCCAAGTATCACCCAAGGCATATTGCCATGCATATTCTTCTCAACTTTACATCTGATGCCTGATTGATTTTTAATGACTCTTCCACTGCTGAGGCCCTTCCCCACTTGAGAGATGCATCTTGAGCATTCAGAAGAAATATTACCAAAAAGAATGACATCGCAAGCACTGGCGTGTTATAATCATAACTTGCGTACTTAAGGCGGTCACGTTCCACAAATACAGTCTCGACGCACATGTCACGAGATGCACAACTACGAAACGAAAACAACAGTGATAATCGCCGCCAAATGCCAATTCCCATAAAAAGACCGTCATACCAGCACAATGAAAGAGGATGTATTGTCCCAAATAGGATGAAACTTCAACCAGCGTCTCCCGGGCTACCAGTTCAGCCCACACCCGCAGTCTCCTTTCACACACTCCCCAAGGATATCATAATTTGATTCCAAGGTTTTGATCAAGAAGCCTTGAACATCACAAGAAATCAGCTGATGTTAATGACGTCTCTTGCTGGCCAGAATCACAAACGGCGAAGAATAATACTTTTTACAATCTTTGCTATCAAAACAGGCCCCATCGAAAAGAGATGCCCTGTCGTCCGCAAACCTGACGGGGGTTCCTACACCGGTCACAGTCAACATGCATGAGTGCCAATGAAAATCCCATGGCTGGAGACCCTCCAAAGAGATCTCAAGCTAGATCTGATCCAGATCCAAATAAGGCCAGACCTGGGCGGAGTTCATGGTTGGGAGTTTACAATAATCCATAACCAAGCCATGTTCATGTTATGCCATGTTACCAACCATGTTACCAACCAACCAAGCCATGTCAATTCATAACCCATTACCCATAGCAGCCACACAGCCGGCACCGCGCGGGGTCTGTGGCATGAACCGAGGAGCTGCCGCGTGGGGGCCGTCATGGTGTTTGCAACTTTAAATCCCGTGGGCTCAACTCTAAGCCCGTCGGTTTTCCCGAGGCGCCCACCAGTCTGCCACAGAAAAACGCAGCTGGGCTGCGCGCGCAATCCGCTCCGGCACGACGGGGACCGGACCTTGAGCGGCGGCGCCACGTCTCGTACCTGGCAGGACAATAAGCCCTTCGTGGCGCTGTTCGGTTACACGCATTGGTACATGATCCGGACCACGCGAAGCAAACGCAGGTTCTCGCGCGTGGGTCAGCACGAATGCAGTACACGATGCACCTCTGGTGCGATACCGGCCCAGCGTGGGTGCGGAGGTGGGCAGCCCTATGTGTAGTACGTGGTCGAGGAAAAGTTGATGTTGTTGGTGGTCATTGCACATCATTAAGGAAATACAGGTTTTACTGTCGATGAAGCCTTAGAATCAGCAGGAACCCATTCATAAGCCTAGGCTATCCGCCCGTTATCATCAACAGTGTGCCCTGTCTTTGTGAGGACACAATTTTGTCCAGGGATATTGAGTTGCCCCATGTTGATCTGGGCCCCCAATATTTTTAACTTAGATATAAATAGAACGCAAGAAAATGCAGAATTCAAAAGCAAATTAATTCAGAAAATTATTGCTGCCTATTACTATTAATCACTCTTCCAAAATAAGGAACTTTTAGACAAAGATACAACATTGAGCGAATAACTTGGCGCTCGGTACCAAACGTTTTTCAACGTTGGAAGGCATTTTACTTTTGACCTAGATAAAAATGTATTGCACGGATTTGAATATGCACTTTTACTACCTTTCAGACCAGTTCACTTGTTATACTGCCCTCCTACACCAAAATTCGTTTTTGACCTTTTCCGAATGATCATCATGACGTTTTGGGTTGTATTTGCCAACAGCACTGTCGCTTGGGAGAGTCCATAGCTTAACACCACGCTGTGAATGCCAGTCTGTATTTAAACTTTCACTATAAAGAATGGCTCGCAAAACCCAGCTTTCTCCGTAGCTAAACCGGGCATAGGAGGCCTTGCAGCTCCATGAAGGCCTTTTAGCCTTTAGCCTGCGGCATTTCCCTTCCCTTCACACCGCAGAGACCCCATTCGCTGCAGGGTTTGCGGCACCGTGTCGTGTCAGTGGAGAGGTGCCCTATAGTCCCGCCGGCGGGGCGCCTAACACCCTGATCTCATGACCTCTGTAGTCATTGATGTATGACGGCGTCTATCTCTTTCACATTTGCCGTCAGTGTCACTGAGTTCTTCTGAATGACCGCTGAAAAAATGATAGATCAACAGCCTTTGGTAGGGGATGTCCACTCGGTGCACGATTGCGCTTCTGAACTAACCCCGAAACCGGTTACCTTTTCACTTTCGCCTGGTCCTTGATGATAAAGCGGTGGGGTCAAACCAACTTTGCTCAAAGGCAATATTTGTTGAGTAGCTTGCTACGAAAGTAAAGGTCCGAAGCTCTATCACCCTGACTTAAGAGATACGCTGCAGTCACAAGATCATCACAAATAGCCGCCAACCGTCTGACACTGGGTCCCAACCGCAATACAGTATACAGAGAAAAACAAGGACGACAAATTCAGCTACACGTGCTTAAAAGGAATATTGCAAAGCTTCAAACGTAGTACGGTATCATACGACTTTTGGTTTAAGTGTTTATTTCTTTTAAAATCGCCACAAACTCGTACTGTTTTGACGCGTTAAGTAACAGGTTGAATATGCAAAGTAAACTTAAATGTAAGCACCCAATCCCCAACATTTCGTAGTTTGGGGGAAAATGCTCGTCAACGAGCAGAGGTCATGCATCTACTGAGAATGATGGAGTTAATGCGCACACACGCTTAGGAAACGATCACATCATTGAGTTATTTTTCGTCTAAAGAAGTTCTGCCTAGGTTATGGAGACATCGATGGTAATGAGCCACAAGTTGTTTCAAATATCCACAAAAAATCTGACAATAGCTGTAATGGTCCCACTGTATACTCACGGACAGTATCTGCTACAGGTTGGAGCTGAGAAACTTCCCATTCTGGTCATCTTCTGTTCCACCCTTCATGGAAACGTTAGCAAAAAAAAAAAAAAAAAATGGTCGGCAGCATTCTCGTTCATCAGTGCTGAGCAACAGTGCTTCACCAATGACTCATGTAAGTCGCACTTCCTCAGGTTCATTTCGGCCACCACGGCTTCAACATCTCCTAGAGGTCTGTCCAGTTTGATTTCATTGCTGTGGGGATACTCCAGCTCCTACCCAGCCTCACGGGTGCTAGTGACCGAAGCTTGTTCGTTGCCTCTGTGATGACAACAAGACTGAAACATCGGGGTAGAGATCGGTGAGCAGGCTCAATGCTCGTTCTAGTTGACGGCAGTGCGGCAGCGTTCCCGGCACCGCTCCTTCTAAACACTGACGTTTTCACGTAACCAACGCTGTACAGAACAGTGGTATGCCCGTTTTGGCGCAAATTTTCGAGGGTGTGGCATCCTCATCTGAAGCCCGTCCGGCAAGCTGGATCAGGAGCGGTTGGAGCGGGCTCAGCGATGAGCTACGTGTCTTCTCCAAGAAGTAAAGCACTGGCCATGCGACGAGAGGCTCCGATTCTTCCAACTACCTTCCCTGTGCTACCGACGCCACAGGGCAGACATGGTTACAGTGTTCCAGACGTTTTATGAAGGCCGTTGGTGAGGTCCCGATAAGACACGACTCGGAAGTGACAAAAGAACACCAATGGCACCTGAGAAACCAATAAATCAGTACCTTCGCTCGTCGGAACTCATTAAGCTCCTGGGTGATAACTGATTGAAGCGCTCTTCCATTGGCAATGTATCGCCCCAACAGTTCAGCAGTTTAAAACTAGGTGCAATTCAGTCTGCGCTGGCACCATGCAGGATATCCTGCACCAATCACAACGCTAAAATGGGATTGTTTGGTTACCTGAATGGATTCCGAAAAGATCGGGATCAACAAGCCAAATGGTCTTTTAATTCCTGATCGCCGTTGGGCAAAGCAGGTGATTCGGCAAGTTCTAGTGTAAAACTCTTTGGTGGAGTTTATAACGAAAATCCCATGTTTTTGTGTGCACGGTTCAAATACGATTTCTGAATCCAACTGGTCTCGCCATATGCTGACGATGGACATCCCAGCAAGCATGCAGTCCACCTGCCTGGATGCTTGCACAGCTCATCATACTTTAATGCTATCTGCCAGCTCACACACAAGAAAAGTCGCTGATGGTGGCACCCACCACACTCACATCACCCGCGTGAATGCGACTGTGCGGCGGACGCTAGTAAACACTGCGCCAGAAGTTCAATACGACTCGCCAACCGGCCCGAGGCCACCCAAATCTGATGCACATTCCACATCGGCATTCGCGGAAGAAGTGCACTGCGGGCCCAGCTGGACACAAGCTGGGCTCCACTTGAGCAGTACCGCAGCTTAATTCGTTTGAACAAGGGGCTGGGCCATGGCCGGCTTGCGATGCTTTACAAACATGCCCGGGAGGAAACATGTTAAATCACTGTCCGGGAAGGCCCGAGCTCCCCCAACTTTGGGAAGAAAGTAGGCAAAGTCTGGGGAAAAACTTGTTTGTTGTTTTTTTTTGCGGGCAGGTTGCGTAATGTCATCGGCCGGCATAGTGGAATACCGCCCAGCGGTCCTCTGGATCCCCTAGTTGCATCGTGCTGGTATTTGCGGCAGCGTAATCCTACCGTTGTGAGGAGGCTTCGTCATCGTAAAAATTGGGGATAGAAACCATTCAGCAGAAATCTGTACAAATATTTTCTCCCTCAAGAAGATTGCTGGGAAAAGGGGACTGTCCCTTCCTATTAGGGGGACGTGTGCCCCGTGCGCCCCCATCCCCAACCCCGGTGGTGTCGCACGTGTCTATGTCGCATGCTACTGGATGTGACAGAGTAAGGCGAAAGTTACACGGAAGCTGCTTTCAGTCCAACAGCCAGAGCTGCAAGAATACAAGTATCTTGTCGACTGCGATAATTATGTGACCGACTCAACTAAAACCTGATGCACTAACACTGTTCATCAATCCTCGCATAAATTCATGCCTAAGCGAGGCACCGGTATCAGGATAATGATGCCGTGTGCGTTTGAGTGTAAGCACGTGAAGCTGAATGTGCGTCAGGTCAATGACTCGCTTTTGGCGTTAAAGCCCGCCGTTCTGGCGTATGGCAATCGTAAACTTTTGTGCAGCGGCCCTTGTCACCAGCGAACCGAGCGGCACTTTCAGAAGCCAGGAGTGGTTGTGGGGGTGCGGAGCGGAGCAGCTGCCGGAAAGATGCAACTGAAAGGGCTGCACTACCGTTTTCAGCCGTGTCGATGGCTGACGGGCGGAGGGCTGGGGGCTGTCGATTGGCTGCTTTGCTGGGTCCATTATAAAGCTTACGAATGCACCATAGGATATAGTGTATCAAATTAATCACACGTCCGCGGTTCCCGGCGAATTCAAGAGCTTTGCTTCTGCTTTGGGGAC